GTGGTATTTAGAAACCAAGACATGGGTGCTCTATGTGCTCATTGCTAATGGGGTGTCACTGCTTCTAGGTATAGGACAACAGTCAGAGCTGGAAAATAAGCCAGGCATGGTGGCGCACCTGTACTTCCAGCTGCTCAGCAGGCTGAGGCTTGAGAATTCGAGGCTGCAGTGTGCTATCTTCGCACCTGTGTGAATGGCCACTGCACGCCAGCCTAGGTAACATTAGCGAGACCCCATCTCTAAAAAGTGAAAAGGAAAATACGTGCACATCTACTAACCCATGCTTATCCATGTATATTTACTTCTGTATCTATCGCTCTGTTTATATGCTAAAAACCAGGAATCTTCAGTACTGTAGGATCTTCTTTGTTCTCTTTTTCTTCCGACGACCCTTTGAGACAGAGTTTGCTTTGTTTGCGGCTTAGAGTGAGTGCACTGGCGTCAAGCCTGCTTCAAGCACAACCTCAGCATCCGGTGCTGGCTACAGGCAAAGCGCCCCATGCCGGCTAATTTTTTCTATAACTTGTGGTTGGCCATTAAGTTTATTTCTATTTAATATGTAGCCAGCCGGGTCTCCTCTTGTCAGGCTGGTTTACCAACTCGACTTGACGACTCTCCGCCTTGGCTGCGGAGTGCTAGGATTACAGGCGTCGGAGCCACGGGCCGGCCTGAGGATACACTGTTTAAGTGGAGTAATCCCGTTAATTCATGAACAAAAGGGGCAATAGGAATGTGCTCATAAATATTGTACTTATCGTTAGTAAGTTACAGATAGCTAATGTATCAGCTGTTGCTATATATTCTGTCCTACGTTTTGCTTTTTTTTTTTCTTGAGCAGAGTCCACTTACTTGCAGGCTACGAGTGCCGTGCCGTCGGCGTCAGCCTCGCTCAAGCCCTCACTCCTGGCTCAAGCATCCTCCTGCCTCCAGCCTCCGGAGTGCTGGGACTACAGGCCATGCGCCACGATAGACCGACCGCCTACTTTTTCTACTATACTTTTAGTTGGCCAATTAATTTATTTATTTACTACTAGAGACGCGGGTCTTCCTCTTGCTCGGCCTGCTTTGGACTCCTGCCCCCCTTGAGCATCTCCGCCTCGCGTCTCACACCAGAGTGCTGGGATGCCAGGCGTGAGCCACCGCGCCCGGCCTGTGTATTCCGTATGTACCTGCTCTGGGGCTCCGTGCGTTACCGTGCGTCTGGGTGGTCTCGGCGTCTACCTCTGAAGGTTGTGGAGAGCTTGGAAGGTACCCACAGGATTTCTCAGGCCACGTGGAAGACTGTTTAAGAGCCCTGGAACTGGACATATCTGAGTTGAGGTCTGTGTCTGTCAGATGCTAGCTAGATGGGCTTGGGCAAGGTTACCCTTGTGGAGTCGTGCAGATGAAACCCCTACGACGGCGCCTGGCACGCAGTCCGCTGGCAGTCGGCTCGCCGTAGGTGCTGTCACTCCCACACGCTGCTGCCTTCGTTCATGGAAAACTCAGCGAGGGCCACGATTGTTACATATTTAGTGCAACCCTTTTTAAAAATTGTTCAGTCTCCTCTGGGTGTGGCCCATATTCTGGGGGATCCAGAGAGTTCCCAGTCCCTGCCTGCCCTGGAGAAGGAGGGCAGCAGTGTCAGAAGCAGACACCCTCAGCCCCCTGGGCTCACTGCTGAGAGAGGGGAGAGGGCTAAGGCTGGGGGACCCTGAGGAGCGGGGAGTGAGGGCTCACTTTAGGGGCAAGGAAAGTTGCAAGGAGGCAGGTAACGTCTGGATGGGGCTTTGAGGTAGGAGTAGGAGCTTCCTAGGAAGGGACAAGCCTTCAGGGCTGGCAGAATCGCAAGAGTAAAGGCAGGATGGTGGGAAAGGACGCAGTGTGGACCTGATCCTTGTAAGAATCGGGGAGCCAGGCAGCAGCGGTGCCGAGAGGGGGCGCTGGGGTGGGGGCTGTTGGGAAAAGCAGAACCATGGCTCTGGCTGCAGGCTGTGGCAGGAGAGGCCCGGGCTGGAGAAACCAAGGTTTTCAGTGGGTGCCCTGGGCTCTGCTGGAGGCCGGGAAACATTTATGAGGGTCCTGGAGGGGATGGGGGCTGCACGTCAAGGCCAGACGGGACTCGGCTGGCCCCAGATGCTCTGTACACAGTAGATTGGAGACAAGACAATGTTTCCCTCTGTGTGTTCAAGAGAGAGGGCAGGGCCGGGCGTGGCGGCTCACGCCTGTCATCCTAGCACTCTGGGAGGCCAAGGCGGGTGGATCACTCAAGGTCAGGGGTTCTAAACCAGCCTGAGCAAGAGCAAGACCCCATCTCTACTAAAAAATAGAATGAAATTAATTGGCCAACTAAAAAAAATATATAGAAAAAATTAGCCAAGCATGGTGGCACACGCCTGTAGATCCAGCTACTTGGGGGGAGGCTGAGGCAGGAGGATGGCTTAAGCCCAGGAGTTTGAGGTTGCGTGAGAGGCTGACGCTGCGCACTGTAAACGGACAACAGAGTGAACTACTGTTCGAAAAAAAAAAAAAAGAGAGGGTAGGAAGTGATGGGAACTCATGGAGGGAGAGAGAACAATTGGAGGATTGGATGTGATGCTTGTCTCTGCCACTCATTTCCATATTATTTCCACATACGCTCTATCAACTAAAACATGCAATAAAAGTTATCTGTGTGACTGTGGGACATCCAGCTCCCCTGATGGAATGAGACACTCCAGCGGGGCGGAACTGGGACCTGGCCATTTGCCTTACATTACGTGCCTGTGACTATCAAACAAAGTCGATGAACCTTCTCTGTGCCTCAGTTCTCATCTAATAAAAGTGAAAATCAAGATCTTACAAAAAAACACACCTCAGGCAGTAAGAGAGATAGTGGCTCCTAATAAAAGCTCAAAATTCTGGAAGCCGGAAGCGAGAGGCACAAATGGCACAAGGTCAAGAGATTCAAACAGCCTGAAGCAAAGCGAGACCCGTCTCTAACTACTAAATAAAAAAAGAAATAAATTGGCAACATATAAATTAAGAACTAGAAGAAAAACTTAGCCGGCATGGTAGCGCATGCCTGTAATGTCCAGCTAACTCCGGAGGCTGACGGCAGGAGGATCCGCTTGAGCCCAGGAGTCTGAGGTTGCTGTGAGCGAGAGGGACCGCCACGGCACTTAGCCCGGGACAACAGAGTAGAAACTCTGAAAAAAAAAGAAAAAAAGACAAAGATGAGCAGACTGGATCAAAAGGGAAAACCCAAATCTCTGTTGCTTCCAAGAGACACATGTACAATGTTCTCATATTGTGGGGAATATGCTTCCATATATAGCGTCCAGAAAGTGGAAAATAAAAAAGTGGAAAAGAGTGGAGCATAGTAAACACAAGCCAGGGAGAATGGGCGTGTGATCATTTTTTTAGTTTATGCAAAAATTTATTTGACCAAAATGTAGAAAAAGTGATACTATTACATATGATACAGTTACAAGAATCTAAAGAGGAGTGTGAATTTCTTAATATCAGACAGAGTCCACCGGCTCCTTGATCTTAGCGAAAAGGCTGAGAAGTGACAAGACAAAGTCCGATGTATAGCAAAACTCACAGAAATAAGGTGGAGCTCATCGTAACAATGAGTTCAGTTCACCAGGAAGGCACCACAATTGCACCTCTGTGTGCAGTCATTCGTGCGGCCTCCAAACAGAGTATTTATCTCATGAGGGAGGATTCAATGTGCATAGAGTGTTTTTTTTTTTGTTTTTTTTTTTTAGACAGAGTCTCACTCTGTTGCCCTGGCTAGAGTGCCATGGTGTCAACCTCCAACTCCTGGACTCAAGCGATCCTCCTGCTTCAGCCTCCCGAGTAGCTGGGACTACAGGCACGCGCCGCCATGCCCGGCCAATTTTTTCTATATATATTTTTTAGTTGGCCAATTAATTTCTTTCTATTTTTGGTAGAGACGGGGTCTCGCTTTTGCTCAGGCTGGTTTTGAACTCCTGGCCTTGAGCCATCCGCCCGATTCGGCCTCCCAGAGTGCTGGGATGACAGGCGTGAGCCGCCGGTCCCAGGCTGCATAGAGTGTTTGTGATATCTGCTCAGTGAGTGCCAGTGATTACTCTTACTGTTGCTGGTGCTATTATAGTAGTTCATTGTTTGTTTATTTTATCAGCGTTGTTGTTTCCTGCAGTTCCTCCAGCCCCTGCAACACAGATGCACAGGGATGGGCAGGTCACCCCACTGTGCGGATTAAGACACCGGGGTTCAGAGATGGACGGGGAGTAGTCCAGGTCCCCTCAGAACCTGGACTGGCCCACAGCTTATTTGATGCCCCTTCCCAGGGGGGCTCCTCACATGATCCTGCTGCCTCCAGCCTGACCAGCCTGCCTCCCTCCCTTCCACAGTGAGTCCAGCCTCCCCCATTTTCTGCCATGCACCGTGCAGGCTGCAATAACAACAGCAGAGCCTTCCCAGGCTTTGGGGTCTTCCAGGTCTGGCGGGCGGGGCACGGAAGGAATGATGGCACAGCTCCGAGTAAGTGAGTTATGAAGTCGAGGGTCATCATGCCAGGCGGGGCACCCCGCTTTGCCTTGGGGAGGTCTGGGAGGGCTTCCTTAGAAGGCAAGCTGACAAGTTAGCTACCTCCAAAACCTAGTGTTGGACCCATTCATTCATTCACTCACTTCACTCACTCACTCACTTGAGCTCCCATAGGTGCCAGGCATGGCTGAAGGAGGTGCCGAGCACAAAACAGGCCAACATTCTTGCGAGGATGGGGCAGGGTGTGTGTGGTGGGGGACCCGGAAGCTAAAGAGTGACAGGATCCTTCTGGAAGGGGGTAACCGCTGGGAAAGAAAACAGAGTGAGACAGGAGCAAGCGCCCCCAGCGCTTCAAATCAGGATCCATAAAAACCAATTTAATCGAGGATGCCACTTTCTCGTGGGGCCCGTGGGGCCCTTATCACCCTCCGCCAGAGGCTGCGTGGAGGTCGGACTCCTCCCAGCGGGCCTGCACGCCCGCTCAGCCGCCAACCTGGCTGTTATTGAGCGCCTCCTGTATGCGCCAGGCAACCTGCAGGGAATTAGGCCACGTGGGGGGTGGGGTGGGGGCAGGTTTCTGTGTGCCCCTGGGCACGTCGCTGCCCCGTGGGCCCTCGGGTGCACTGCCCTGCGTGGGGCCGTGGGGAGGGCTGCTCGGCCGTCCCCGAGCTGCCCTGACCCGCGAGCTTGGGCTCCGCACGGAAGCGCCGTTAGCGCCGCCCTCCCGACAGCCCCGAAGGTGAGAGTGCGTGGATGGGGGTGCCCATCCCCATCCTGCAGGCGGGCAGGAGGGAGCCCCGCCGGGGGCCGGGAGTCGCGCCGGCTGCGCGGGCGCCGGCTCGCGCTCGGGATCCGGCCTAGAGCCCCCCGCCCCCGCCGCCGGTGGCCCGGGGGCGTCTGCCCCTTTAAGAACGTCCCAAGGAGCCGAGCAGGAAGGGGGCGGCGCCCCGTCCCGGACGGACGTGCGCGCGAGCCAATGGGCGTGGCGGTCTCGGCGGCGGCGGCCAATGGGAGCGGCGGGGGCGGGGGCCGGGCGGCCGGACCTGGTTCCCGAGGCGCGGCGGCCGCGGCTGGGGGCGGGGAGGGGCGCAGGACCCCAGGCTGGGGTCCCCGAGCCCGAGGCACGTGTCCCGCGCCGCCGGGGGCCGAGGCCGCCGCCCGGCGCGGTCGGTCCGGGGCCGGCGCGGCGGCGGTTCCGGCCGTTGCGGGCGAGGGCGCGGGGCGGCGAGCGGGCTCGCGGGCGGGGCGCCCGCGGGGCGCGGCCGGGCGCGCGGCGGCGGCTGGGGTTCCGGGGCGGAGGGCGTGCGGCGGGGGCACTGCGGCGAGACGCGCAGGCCGTGCCCGGAGGTGCGGGGTCCGGGGCCCCGGGCTGGTGGCGTCAGACGGGCGTGGGGCGTTGGGGGCCTGGGTATCGGGGCGCGGGGGGCGCAGGCCGGGGCCGGGGGGGGGGGCGGGGCGCAGGGGGTCGGGGGACTGTGGGGGGGGTGCCGGGAGGGTCCCCGAAAATGGGGCCCGAGCCCGGAAGGAGCAGGCAGGTGAAGGTTAAGGTGCGGGATGCTGCGCGTTGGGATGACGGCTGCACCGCCTCTGCGCTTGGGGCCTGGGGAGACGGGTGGGTGCGCGGGGGGCACAGCCCGGGCTAGGGGCTCCCCACAGGCCTGGGGCAAGGAAGAAGCCGAACCGGTGGGATCTGGTCCCCTCCCGCAAAGGAGGCTGCTTTCAGGGGCTGGGAGGGAGACCTTGATGAGAGGAGGAAGGGCTCCCAGGCTTTGGCCTGGGTCCCTGACATTGGGGTTCGGGGAGTGGTGTTAGAGGCAGTGTATGGAAGGTAAAAGGTTTTTGGGTTTGTGGGTGGTTAGGGCCGGCGCTGCTGGGAGGGGCCTCCCCTTCGGAGAAGGGGCAGCTGGAGATGGGAACCCCGGGGGGAAAGATTAAATTGCCCAAGTGGCCCAGTGGCCCTAAAAATGGCTTCCCCAGGGCCTCAGGGCCTGTCCCCTCCAAAAAATTCCCAGCACTCTTCCTCGGCATTGAGTGAGTTAAAACCCGAGGGTCTAGAGGCCCAGGTTCCAATCCTGCCTTTGCCTTTGGCTTGCTTTGTGACCTTGGGCAAAATGGCTGTGGCCCCCTCTGGCCTTCACTTCTTTTTCTGCAGAATGTTGGGGGGATGTACCCTACTTCCTGGGGTGTTTATAAACATTAAATAATGATTAGCTCTAGTAATAGCTGATTCTGCTTGAGCCTGATGCCCGGGCCTTGACGCGTGGGTTGATGCCTCCCAGGGAGCTGGGGTTGTTGGGATCCCCTACACCTGTGAACCCGGGGGCTGGGGCCCCTGAGTCACACAGCCGTGATCTGCAGGGTGGGGAGTGGGCGCGGGGAGGACGCCCCGTGGCCGGGTGGGGGTGGGGCTCTTACCCCCGTGCCTCCCGCTCCCCAGGGCCGATTCCCGTGCCCCCAGCAGCATGGCATCCTGCGCCGAGCCCTCTGAGCCCACCGCCCCGCCGCCTGCCGGGGCCCCGCCGCTGGAGGACTTCGAGGTGCTGGATGGGGTCGAGGATGCAGAGGGCGAGGAGGAAGAGGAGGAGGAGGAAGAGGAGGAGGATGACCTGAGTGAGCTGCCGCCGCTGGAGGACATGGGGCAGCCCCCGCCGGAGGAGGCCGAACAGCAGCCGGGGGCCCTGGCCCGAGAGTTCCTCGCTGCCATGGAGCCCGAGCCGGCCCCGGCCCCCGCCCCGGAGGAGTGGCTGGACATCCTGGGTAAGGAGCAGGGGCCCGGAGGGTTCGCCCAGCGGGGCCCAGACGGCTCGGGCTCGGGGGCGGCTTCGGCCCCGGCCCTCTTTGTCCCCCCCACCCCCCAGCCTCATTTCCCCATCTCTGCTGTGAGGGGTGAAAGTGACACGTGGTAACCACGGCAACTGCCAGCCACAGGCGAAGACCGCTCGAGAGACACTTGGTGTCTGCGAGCCCCGTTCGTTTCCACGCACGCGCACGCACAACGTGCGGCGGCCCAGAGAGGCTGAGTCACCTGCCCAGAGCCACACAGCCCCAGCACGCCAGGGCGTCAGCAGCGCCCTTCCCCGCACTGGCTTTTCTCAGCATTTATGCTACTGAGGGGGGGGGGGTCTTGCCCCTTGAAAGGCGTGTCCTGGGGTCTCGTAGTCCTGGGGAGTGTCGTGTTCCGTCTGGCCCTCTGGCCGGTTCAGGGCGCTCATTCGTTCGTGTTGCACATGCTCAGAGGAGTCCCACGAGAAAGGGACTCGGCGAACCCACACTCGTGGCCTGGCCCTGTACCTCCGCACGGCTACTCTGAAAACAAGAAAACGTTAGCACTCCGTGGAAAACGGGTCGCCATACGTGCAGTGCTGACACCTAACATACCACGGGTTGCTGCTGCACACGCGAGTGGTGATACAACGCCACGGCTGTGACCGGTGGGACTGGCCCTGCTCCGCCAGCAGTGTCAAAGAACAGTGACACTGGGAAAAGACCAGAGATGTCGGCCGCGCGGCGGCTCACGCCTGTCGTCCCAGCACTCTGGGAGGCCGAGGCGGGAGGATCGCTCGAGGTCAGGAATTCGAGACCAGCCTGAGCAAGAGCGAGATCCCCGTCTCTACTATAAATAGCAAGAAATTAATTGGCCGACTAATATGTATAGAAAAAATGAGCCGGGCATGGTGGCGCATGCCTGTAGTCCCAGCTATTTGGGGAGGCTGAGGCAGGAGGATCACTGGAGCCCAGGAGTTGGAGGTTGCTGTGAGCGAGGCTGACGCCACGGCACTCACTCTAGTCCGGGCAACAAAGCGAGACTCTGTCTCAAAAAAAAAAAAAACCACCAGAAACGTCACGACTAATGCCACCACCACTGCTAATCTTACCGCTCCTGAGAATGATACCAGGTAACCCTTCCCGAGCGCTGGTTCTGCGCCAAGCCTCTGCAGCATCTTACCTGGTCCTCACAGCAGCCCCGAGACGTGATTCCCAGGGTATCCCCATTTTACAGACGGGGAAACTGAGGCTCAGAGAGGCGAAGGCCCTTGCCCGAGGTCACACAGCCTCCCTGGCTATTCTAGAGTTTGGGAAGCCGTTCTTTCCTGCCGGTGGTGAGAGTGGGAGCTGCCCTGCGGCCCTTCTGAGCACGAGGCTGGCACCGCGTTCACATGCGGCTGTCCGGAGAGGACCCAGCCACGTGGCCGGTCTCGTTGTGTCGACAGTGGCTGGGTGCTGACAGGGTGTTGCTTTGTCGTCCTGGCTAGAGAGCAGTGGGTATCACGACAGCTCACCGCAACCTTAACCTCCCGGGCTGAGGCGATCCTCCCGCCTCAGCCTCCCGAGTAGCTGGGACTGCAGGCACGCGCCCGGCTGATGTTTCTGTTTTCGGTAGAGACGCGGTCTCTGTGGTTTGGTGGCTCCCAGGCTGGCCGGGAGGGTGCGTATTGACGGTGGATAGCAGCACACTAAGAAATTGGAATATCCTAGGCTATTTCAGAATGGGGATGGACACATCGCAGTTTTCCAAACTCTCCGGCTAGAGTCCGCTCCGATTTGTGGACTAGACCCGACGGCGCGTCCCGGAACACGGGTAAACGTGGGAACGGGAGCGACCACGGGCCACGTCAGAGTGACGGGCCCCGCCGGTCCAGCCCTCGCTGCGCTGAGGCTCCCTCTCCGCCAACTCCTCGGCATTCCCCCGGGGAGACCGGGCTGTGTGTCCTGGGCCAAGTCGCCTGCCTTCTCTGCGCTGCTTGTTAGATGGCGGCGCTAGCGGCAGAGCGACCCCGGCGCCGGCCGAGGGATGGCAGCGGGCGGGCGTTGTCGCCGTGGGGCCCCTGGGTGCGTTTGCGAGGGCGCCGGGCCTTCTGCCCGGTGCTCCGCCCGTGTTGGCTGTGGCCGTTGCCGTGGCCGCTTGCCGGCCGAGAGAACCGCGCAGGTCTCGCGGTCGGGGCGGTGGGGCCAGGGCTGCTGCTGCTCGCCACTCTTTGGCTCCGGGTTCCTGTCGCGGGCAGCGCGCACGGCGCTCTGGTAGAGACGCGCGGTGTCACAGGTGCCCTGCCAGCCACACAGACGCCCACCGGGTGCCACCAGGAGGTCCCGTGGCCACCCTGTTTTACGGCTAGGTAAACTGAGGCCCAGATGGCCCAGGGGCTACGATTTGAATCCAAGGATCTTTCCTCTCTGAGCCTCAGACCGCCGTCTTCAGGGTCACCTCCAGGCACAGGGCCGCGTGCGGGGGGATGTACGGGCTCCTGCTGGGGGGTGGGGGCGGCCGGGGGCGGCACTCAGACCTGGCGCCCCCCACGCCCGAACCCCAGACCTGCCAGGACACGGTGCTCCCAGCGTCCTGGGTCCGTCCCCGCTGCCCCCCGCCCGGGAGAGCGCCAGGGAGGCAACTCTCGCCCCCCGGAGCTACGAGACCTGGCGAGCCAGCTCCCCTCCCAGAGCCTCGGTTTGCTCTTCTACGAAACTGACTGATGGGC